GCGATTGGCTGGATTTGAGCAGCAGAACACGTGGTGTACGACGTGTCCGAGATTAGTGCCGAATTGGGCTGGGATCCGGGACTCCGGGAGTAGGGAAGAATGGCGAAGGACGTTCAGGTACAGTGCGGGGAGTGTCTGATCTGGGTTAGTATGTCGGAAACTAGGTTCGAGAGCGCTGAGGAAGCGGAGGCAGGAGACTTCCTATGCAGGTTGTGCGTCCTACAGGCGCGTCTAGACAGGATGGAAACCGAGAACACGACAATAGTAGCGCGCGTTGTGGAACTGGAGGACCAGCTGAGAAAGGAGAGAGACGAGCGGCAGGCACTGGAAGAGAGACTGAAGAACGTAGAGGGGAGTCGGACAGAGACGGTCGCCCTGAACGGTAATGGCGGACAGGCTGAGAAGCAAAATGACGAGGCGCGGTCGGCCACCAGCATGGGCGACGGGGATGGGGACGACGACGGAAGCGTTAGACAAAGCTACGCGGGGGCGCTGACGCAGAACAGCCAGAAGAATAGGGAGACAAATGCGGTGAACCAGAAAGGGCAGCTGGCAGGGGGCTCGACTGGAACGGGCCCAAGTGAGGAAAAGAGGGTCCTTGTGGTTGGAAGTTCGAACGTGAACAGGTTCAAGGCAGGTCTCGCTTGGAAGGTAAAGGACGATGAGAGGGTCACAGTGCAAGCGTACCCGGGTGCCTGCATCGGAAAGGTTATGGAGGGGGCAAAGAACCACATATGGGACAGCATGGACAGGGAGAACCTGGTGGTGATACACGCTGGGCTGAATGACGTTTTACAGGGAAGGGAACAGAACCTGGGGAGGCAAATCGAAGCCGGGGTGCGGAAACTGAAGGCGACAGCTGAAGGAGTCCAAATCGTCATGTGCACGATTCCAGAGATTCAGGGGCAGACTGTAAAAACTGAGAAGAAGGTGGTCAGGGCAAATGCGGTCATAAAGGGACTGGGGCGAGAGCTGGGGTACGAGGTAATTGATATTAACAGAGAGGTGTACCAGCCAGCGTCTGCCAGTCCATTTGTTGCGGACGGCATTCACTACCGGGAGCACACCGGAAGGAGGGTGGGTCGGAGGATTGGATGCACAGTGAGGTATTTTTTAAATACACACAGGTCCCTAAGGGCGGAAGCTTAGAGGCCGGGACTGGGGAGGGGGGGATGAAACAGAAAAAATGTAGAGTTAGGAAAGAGAGGGAATATAGAGCTAGAAGCACAGAGCATCCTTGGCTAAATGGCAACATAGCGGGAGAAGATGGACCGGTACCAGAGTCGGAAGAAGTTACTGGGTGTGAGTACCGCAGGAGCAGCAGGGAGAGCAGGAGGAAGCCCCGAAAAAATAAGAGAAAGAATCGGCTCAATATAGGGTTCATAAACATGCAGGGGGGTAGAAACAGAATAAAGTGGGAGGAGATCGGTGAACAATTAGAGGCTGAAAATTTCACAGTATATGGGGTAGCAGAAACGCACCTTAGAGATGAGGAGGAACCACCATACATATCAGGCTACTCCTGGATGGGATGCAACCGGAGGGAAGGTGAACGCAAAGGCGGGGGTCTGGGCATGTTAGTTAAAGGACAGGACTGGAAAAGAGAGAGGGAAGGCTGCAGAGAACACTTATGGTTGAATGGTAGAGTAACAGGCCTCAACACCCTTCTGGGATTTGCCTACCTGAAAACAGGAAAAGACTCGAGGGAGGAAAATACAAAACACTTTACATGTATTTCAAGGGACATTAGAGAAATTGGCCTTAATCAGGAAATAATTATCATAGGAGACATGAATGCCCATTTAGAAGAGTTTGATGGATTTACAGATACAACCGGAAAGTTGCTAGAAGATTTCTGTGATGCCCTTGACCTAGTATTAGTGAATGCTCAAGTAAAATGCGACGGCAAAATAACGTGGGAACGAAACAACTCGCACTCAACTATAGACTACTGCCTCATGTCCCACAAACTGTATGCCAGGTTAGGAAGTATGGAAATAGATGAGGAAGGAACAAAAAGCTTAGGGAGTGACCACAAACGAATTAAGATTAAATTTGGTGCATCCAAACCAGAACAGCAAGCCCAGGAACGAGCGGGTAAACCTAAACTGAGTGAAGATCAAATACAAAAAGTATCGAAAAGCATTGAGAACATAGTATCGAAACAACCAGAAAGGGAATGGGCATATGAGGATCTAATAGGAATCTTTAAAAGAGAATTAGAGAAGCATCGAATTAAACAAAGAGGACAGCAAAAACGAAAACACAAACCAAAAAGCTGGTGGGATAAGGAGGTCAAAGCAGCCATATTGCAGCGCCAAGAGGCATCTAGGGAGCATAGGTGGGCAAAGAAAAGGGGAGCCTTGCCAACTGAGGTAGAATCAAAATGGGAAAACTTCCAAGAGCGAAAAAGGGAGGCATCAGCTTTAATACAGACCAAAATTGGGAGTGCAGGAGTGCAGTGGATGATGGAAATAAATAAAAAAGATAGGAATGCAGCGAAAAGGTTTTGGGAACATATTAAAGCGCAAGGGAGAAAGACAGATAGTTTCCAACACGTACTAACCACACAGGAAGGGAGAAGAGTGGAGGGGGAAGAGGCACGGGAATATATTAGGCAGACAATCGAAGGGGCTTTCTCGCAGCTTGAGCAGAGGGGGATAGTGGATAACTCTGACAGCAGCAGCATAGAGGAGGAGCAGAATTATGTAACAATGGAGACGACCGCAAGGGAATGGGATAAGGCAGAAAGTAAGGTTCCAGCAGGTACAGCGACAGGCCCAGATGACATACCCATGGAACTCATTAGGACACTAGGAAAAACAAGCAAATTGAAGTTACGACATACAATAAATCAAATAATTATGGGAGGAGAGGTGCCTAGGGATTGGAAACTGAGTAAAATGAGACTAATATATAAAGGCCGAGGAAACAAAGACAACATTAAGTCGTATCGCCCAATAACGGTAACTTCAGTTCTATACAGAGTAGTTATGCAGATAGTAAAGCGGAGAATGGAGGAATGGGTAGAAGAAAATCAAATACTGGGTGAGCTCCAAAATGGATTCCGAAAAGATAGAAGACTGGAAGATAACTTATTCGTCACCACACAATGTATAGAAATAGCAATGAAGAACCAGACTCCTTTGTGGTTGGCTTATTTGGACATCAAGGGAGCGTACGATAATGTGAGCCAGGAAAAACTCTGGAGTCAGCTGAGGGAATATAACTTAGATGCATATTTGGTTGGGTTTCTTCAGCAGGTGTATACAGACAATAAGGTAATTATAGCATGGGAGGCAGAAACTACACAACCCGCAGCGATAAAAAGAGGGCTCAGGCAGGGCTGTCCACTGTCACCTCTGCTTTTCATGATATATCTCAGGGAAATGGAAAAGAAACTAGAGCAGAGCAACTTAGGTTTTGATGTGAGTTATATGGAAGGAGGGAGAAATGTATTACAGGTAATACCAGGACTGATGTATGCCGATGACATAGTACTTATGGCAGATAACCAGGATATGTTACAGGAACTAGCTAGAATATGTGGAGAGGAAGGGGACACAATGGGCATGAGTTTTAGTAGAGAAAAGTCTGGAGTAATGGTGTTTAACGACAAAAAGAGGGAACCCCTGAGGATACAGGACATTGAAATAGACCAAGTAGGAAAATACAAATATCTGGGAGTCTGGCTCAATGAGGGAGCGAAATATCTAGAGGAACATGAGGAGAATATAATTAGAAAAGGGAAAAGAAATTCATCAATTATGAAGCTCAAGGCGCTATGGAACTATAATAGATATGAAGTGGTCAGAGGTATATGGAAAGGAGTGATGGTGCCAGGGCTGTCTTTTGGCAATGCAGTGCTGTGCATGAAATCAGAGGTTCAATCAGGATTAGAAATTCGACAAAGAAGCGTAGGCAGGCTGGCACTGGGAGCACATGGAAAAACACCAAATGAGGGAGTACAGGGGGACATGGGATGGTCGTCTTTTGAGAGCAGGGAGGCAGTTAGTAAGTTGAAATTTGAACAAAGGTTGACCGAAATGGATGATACGCGGTGGGCACGGAAAGTATTCAAATATTTGTACATGAAAAGTTTAAACACAAAATGGACAAACCGAACCCGAAAGCTTACATTTAAATACCTACACACTGGTGATGGGGCTGAACAGACTACTTCAGTGAAAAAAGGGGTGAAAGAGGCAGAGAGGAAAATGTGGGAAGAAAGAATGCAGGATAAATCAGCTCTAACAGTGTACAGGTCACGAAAGCAGGACATAAGAAAGGAAAATGTGTTTGACAACTCAATAGGAAGTTCTTTGCTGTTCGAGGCGAGAACGGGGGCTTTGAGGACGAGGACGTATAGGGCTAAATTTCAGGAGATAGACACATTATGTGCTGCTTGCCATAATGAGAGTGAGACACTTGAGCACTTGGTATTAAAGTGCACGGGGCTTCGTCCTGCACTCCCTGAAGGGGTAACAGATCTGGCCGGGGCCCTGGGGTTTGCTGGCGACGATGGAGGGACGGAGGAGAAGAGGATTGCAGTCACAAAGAGGAGATTAGAAGATTGGTGGAAATTATCTAGGGAAAATTGAATGGTACAGAACTAACTAGCACAGCTGGGGACAGGCGGGACAGAGGAAAATTGGGACTCCCTCCCGCGTGGCTCCGGCCCAAAGTCTCAACCCTGTCTCCCAGTGGGTCCGGTGCGGGGGTAACGCCGACAAGGTCTGACCAGAGGAAAATTGGCGACTCCCTCGCCGGGGGGAAGAGGCGGGGGGTGATGTTTTTAGTTTTTTTGCCCGATCCCCCAAAGGTCATCCTGGTGATATCCCACACTACCTGGTGATAGTTAGGGGGTAGAAAATTGGCTTAGAAGGGCGCGGGAAATCAAATCAAATGTTTGTCTTTTTAGACTTAGGCTAGGTGGCGCAAGCTACCACCCGCTACAAAGGGTATAGCCAGTAACATCCATCCATCCATCCATCCTTTTCGAACTTTTCCGAATCACTTCGATTCGGCTACTTTCCCGAATCTTTCCGAATCTTCAGATTCGACTCCGAATCTCGATTCGGGTTAAAGATTCGTCCCATCACTAATAGACGACAGTGGCTGTGTGCTTTTGCACTTTCCGGCCGTTTTCAAACGTTCTGGTGTTGTACTAATTTCGATCCCAGCGTTCACGGTGAAAAATTTGGTGAGTGGCATCTTACAAGTTGCAGCAAACCCTCAGCGCTATCGTTGACTCATTCCTCCAGTTTTATCTAATCGGCGCTTCCAGCCTACGCCGGGGTGTGTTCGCGTCGCCGCTTTTTGGCTGTTGAAACCTCGGGCCTGAGACTGCGATGGTTCCCTCGGATAGCGCTATAGAAACTCCCGCAGGGGACCCCGCTCGAACTTCGCAGGTAACAATGGACGAGGCAGAGTTGTCCCCCAAGTTGGATGATCCCCAACTCGTCGAGGAAATCCGCGAAAGGATCAACCTCAAGATGGCAGACGCTCTCAGCAGACCTTGCTCCGCGACTGACACGAAAGACTGCCGCCTTCTAGACGATGTGACATCATGGAATGAACTTCTGCATCCTGTTGGATTCGAAGTGTACGAGTACGAACCCGGACGCTTCGCGCTGCACTCCCTAAACGCCCACTTCGAAGAAACGACGGGCCACAGCGTGCATATTCAGGAAGGTGCATTTGCTTTTTATTTCTTGCTCAAGACGCACCGCTGCATAAAGGTGCTCAAAATGGAAGAACATCTTTTACTCGTTCATTGCTTTCCTCTTGTGAAACTCGCTTTCTTGGAGAACAAAGGCCTGGAGGTTGTGAAAGTAAGGCACTCTTACATGGCTCCTTATCCTTCTTGCGAGCTTCTTGAAGCAGCTGCTAACATAACCAGCCTCCGGCGAGTGGTGCTGTACGAGCTGGAACTCACAACTCTCGGTGCCCAGCAGCTGGCTGAGGTTTTGGCTCGTAATGAATTGCTCGAGTCTGTGCAACTTCATTATGACGTGTCAGACGGCCGAGACCAAGATGTGCTGTTCAGATCAATTGCCGGCCTTAGACGTCTCTCCAGTGTGTCTCTTAACAGCAGGAAGTTAGACGATGCCGCCGCTAAGGGAATCGCGCATCTTCTGAGAACAACAGACACACTCAGAGACCTTAAACTTGGTGGATGGGAGACTGTGGACCCAGAGCATTTTACTCTCGTGGCGGATGCTCTTAAAGAAAACAAGACACTTGAGTCGGTTACATTTTCTTACTGCTATATCAATGACGAAGGGTGTGGGCTCGTAGCTTCGGCTTTGAGGGAAAACACATCCATAAAGAGGCTTACCATATGCCGTGGCGAATTTGGTGACGGTGGAGCACAATCTCTCGCAGAAGTGCTGAAGACCGATGCTTGTATTGAGGACCTGGATCTTTCGGGCAACGACATTGGAAGTATGGGAGCTAGAGCTCTTGCCGAGGCCATCGCTGCCAATCATACCCTCAAAAATCTAAACCTAACCCAGAACTACATTGACACCTTGGGAACTATGGCAATAGCAAAGTCATTGGTGGGTAATACCACATTAGAAGAAGTCAACCTGGGGTATGTGCTGTGCGAGGATTCAGAGCTGGATGGACTCGAGACTATGTTCGAGGGTTTCGGTATACAGGTGTCGGACACTGAAAGCGATTGCCTTGTGAAGCTGTTCCGAAAGCTGAGCTCCTTTGAAAAGATCATTGCGGTCTGGAACGATGCTGGAGTTTCTGAACTTGCTCGGACCATCCAGTGCTCCAGCAAAATTCGGAAAGTGTCTTTGGAGGGACTTTGCGAAGTGTCCACCGAAGTTCTGAAGGAGTTGTTTCATGCACTTCTTGCGAACAAGACTGTAGAAACCCTCGAGATTCCGCTGGAAATGATGTGCAGTGAAGATGCTGTGAGTTCCCTAACAGAGTACCTTTCCACTACAACGTCTTTGAAGCACTTCACCATGCCATTGAAGGCGTCCCAGAAGGAGGCAGTTAGGGCTCTGACTGAAGCTCTGGCCGTCAACTAAAGCATCATACATCTTCAGGTCATCTGCCCTGATGTTGATGAGCTCACTGAACAGTTGTTTGGAAATGTCTTCAAACAGAACCACACCATTGAAACCTTTCTGTTAAACGACTATACAGGGCAGTTTGAGTTGAGTGATCACAAGCCTTTGATCAAGTTAGCAGCTGCTCTTGCCGATAACTATGTTGTGACCAAGGTGAAAAACGAGTTCTCGGGGGTTCCCTGGGAGGGTTTGTCAGCAGTGCACACAATTCTCCGGAGAAATCTGTCGCTACTGAATCAAGCTGTGAGGTTTGCATTGGATCCTACTTCTGATGTCCCCGAGGTAGCCGACCTCTTTTGGCAAGTCCGGCACCTCCGGTCCTTTCAGCAGCTACTGGCACGTGTTGTAAACACGACTGCCGAGGAAGCTAAAGACAAGATTAGTGTTGTGGAGAACTTTGTGAAGTGTCATTATGGGAAGTAAGATGGACCACTGCTACCTGCTGAGAAGATGAAACTGCTGCTATGCTGTGCTGGTTTATTGTGAATACAAGCCTTTTGAAGTATGCAAAATCTAGAGTAGTTTTTGGTGAACTGGGTACCAAGGTCACTCTTTGACGTTTTGAAGGATATACTTTGTAGTGGTGGTTAATTCTACTTTCATGGAGCATGCCGAGAGTTAATCTCACCTTTGTTGTCGATCTTGTTAAGTATGAACATATTTTGCTGAATAACTACCGAATAAGAGGTTGTCAGTTCTTTGCTGCATTTGATATGTCTCGCAATGTTAAGACTTGAGATAATGCTTCATAAAAATTATTTGATGGTTTATAGATGGTTCAAAGATAGGCCTATGTTAAGAGCCAGAATATCCAATGTTCATCAGTCTATATATTTTTAGAATCTGGTACAAGCTTATGCCTATTGGAACTGCCTCATTTAACATTTTAACAGGCTACCTGCCTTTTAAATTAAGTAGCAATCTGTGTGACATTAACTGTCCTGCTTATGACTGTAAAAGCACCTTCACCCTACCACTGGTTGTGCACACATTGTAATTGGGACATACAACAGTTGTATTTGCCTTAGCCCTTCAAACTCCATGTGAGGTGATGCCATATAGCCCCAAACATGTGACTCTGCACACGGTAACTTGTGTATACTGTAATGTGTAGTAAACAGTGTCATAATTTGTTAGCTTTAGTGTAATACACAGGAATGATGATTGGTAAGCACTAGGCTGAAGTTCGTTAATGAACTGCCCTAAAGCGAAGGTTGTTGCTGGCTTGATGTTTGTGTGTTTAGTGTATGCATTTGCCTGCCCGTTAGAATGGAAGCCTTACACTGCGAGTCTTTTTTCTAATCTACATCTTTTTTGGGGGGTATTGCTAATTTTGTGGCAACTACCACAGCTTGGAATAATAGCCCGTTGATATCTGTTGGGCACCAAATAGAACCAACTTGAAGTAGAGTTAATAATCATGACATTTGATGAAGTGTAGCAAAACATTGTGCTGAGGAAAGAGTAATCAAGGGCATCTTCCTAGATTGTGTAAACTAAGGAATAGTATGCTTGTGGATGTGCTAGGTCCCTACAAGCTTTTCTGGGCCGTTTTGAGCAGAAGTAGCTTACAACATGAATCACCTTTCCTTTTCATTTGAGTTTAAAAATTGTTTTGCCCTGAAATATTTATCCTTGAACCTCTTCCTTATCTTGGGGGGCGGACCATTTTGCTCCCAACTCTGTCTCAATCTGCTCACTATAGCTTCTAGGCTCTTTAAATAGGAATTGGTTTTGCCCTAGCCAGTTTCTTTTCTGCTCTTTATTTTATTGCTTATATGTTTTGAAGGATTGTTACATTTTTGCAAGAACTGTGGCTGGGGCCATGTGCCTGGCCCTCGTGGTCACTCCTTCCCCATGAAGCCTTGCCCCTCCTTCTGTCCAATAATAAATTTTCAATCAATTTGGTTTGCTTTTGCCTGGCACTCTGTAGAAACTGCACATTCTCTAACTCTAGTCCTAAAATGGCATGGCTCAAATCGCATTGAAATGAGTACTTTTTTATAGGATATGCACTGAAAGTATGAAAGGACAGTTGGGGGAAGCATTCCTTCTCTGGGTATCATGTGGGCTGTGGGTCCAAGTATACCTGTCTCTATTGTATAGTATACAAAGCGGGCTTGTTTTTTATCTGCTCGTTCGAGCTTCAGGACGTTTGGCTGCCTTGAATCTGTGATCATGAAGCTATGCTTGACTCTGAATGCTTACCTTTTGCTTCGTTCAATGTCATTTAAAGTAGGTACTTTATTTTTGTAAGCTCATAATCGCACAAAATATGGCTGCTAAGCAGTTGATGCCCAGAGGCTGCGAATAAATGTATACTTAAATTCAACCTGTGTGCAGTATTTTTTGGTAGCTATTTTTTTTATAGCAACTACCTAACAATCCGCCTTTCGCATGAATGCGGGTTCAAGAAAATACAACCACGGATGTCCTGATGGGGGTGCAAGTATTTTTTGGTGACTAGTAACTACCTGACCCCCTGTGGGACTCTGGGGATATTGACGACGAGATGTCTCGGTGATGTATTCTTCGGTTGCAGTCACACTGTTGATACATCATTCAAAAGACAGTCTGCAAACACTGGCTGAAATGTGTTTCTTGTATGACTGTCATGTCACATTTGTTGTAAAAAAACTGTGCGCAGGCATGTGCGAAGCGTACATATATGTCTGGAGCAAACATGCTTCGAAAACACTCGAGGCATGTCCACAGATACTTCTGTCATAACGCCTGCAACGAATACCATGTTTTTTGTATGATGTGTGAACAGTATGATTGCGGCTTTATGGTTCCTACTTGTGATGGCATGACTAGGATCACCAAATGTGAATGACAAGCTCAATGGTATGTGTAACAAGCACGGCGGAAGCTTGAAGTCATCGTGTTCATGCAAACTACACCGTCAAAGTTGGCAGCCTGCGTTACTCTTATTTCTGTCGATAATGCACAATAATACAACGAAAGGACCTCGATCCTAATAAAACATTATAGTTCCCGTTTGGCCAATCGTGGCTGCACCCAACTAAAAAAAATTGCATACTTCCTCCCCCTCCCCTCCCTCCCGCCCCCCCCCCCCCCCCCCCCTCCCGCCCCAGAAAAAAGTTATGTGGATGCCCATGGACAACTAGAAGATGAGAAGCAACATTTTACCACAAACACGTCTGCTGCATCTTGTTGGCTCATTGGGATGCCATGACATAAATACAGCTTCCCAAAAAATTTCATTTGTCCTGTTTGTTAAATATTGTTTGCCTCAAAGTTGATACAACGTGTCATCTTCCCCTTCTGCTCGGTCAGGCGAAGAGAGAGGGGGAACTAAATCCGTTTACTCCCAAACCTGTATTCCTGCAGCTTGCCAATTTGTGGCTTGCTAGCCGCTCTCTGTGTAGAATAAAGGGTCCATCTATTTGATGGGGCTCTTCTAATGTGCTTTTTCTTTCTTGCCTCCAGATGCTCTTCTGAGCCTGCATGGCTGGAAGCCAGAAGAGACTCTACAACTATGCATCTCACCTGCACAGACGCTGCCCTGGAGTTCCCCCTGCCAAGAGGTTGTGCCGGAGCCTCTGTCAGACAAAGAGCATCGTCAGTGAGAGCATGGTCAACTATGACCTGACTTGCAAAGATGAAAGACCCTCGGCATGCCAACTCGTAAATAACCTGTCTGTCTGGAATGAGTTCCTATGGCTTGTTGATGCAGAGCTTAAAGAAGTTGTCCCAGGAAGACTGGCACTAGTGACCTTGAATGGTGATGTTTGGCCCCACGTTTCGAATGTGCAGAGCCGCCACATTTCTGTTCTTATCCATTGGCTTCTGGCAAAGCACCAATGTATCGAGACACTGGAGCTGAGGGAGACGGTTATTCCCAGCAACCCCTCTCTATTTTGCGATGCCCTACGTGAAAATCAAGGCCTACGGCACCTCAAGCTTTGTGCCTATCACCTTGATGACAGTGTTACCAAATGCCTCATAAGATCTATAGGATCTATGCCACTGCTAGAGACTTTGGAGCTGAAGAGTGTGCGGTTGCAGAAAATGTCATTAGCCACATTGAGAGAGGTGCTTAAGACAACAAAGGCGCTGAGAGTACTGTCACTGACCCACATTGTACTGCTTCCCGATAGTGTCACCAACTTGCTTCAGAGTTTAAAGTGCGTGACTTCCTTGGAGGTTCTTCATCTGGATGACAACTTCCTTCGACCTGGGAAAGGCACGGTGCTGGGAGCCTTCTTAGAGGATCATGATGGTATCACGGAGTTTTCACTCACACAGACCTTGGATGAAACCACATTCAAAGTCAGCCCTGTCATCAGGTCACTGAAGAAAAGTGCTATGAAAAGAATGCACCTTGTAAGGTTTGCCCTAAGCAGATCTGATCTGCTAGTTCTGCAAGACATACTTGAAACAAACACGAGCTTGCAGTATCTGCGAGTCGTTTTCAGCAACAATCAAAACGCTGTGCCATGCACATTTGCCGATCTGGTTCAGAGGAACATGGGGCTGAAGGAATTAGTTTTAGAACAAGGTTCTCTCAGTTGTGACAGTGTTTCCTGTTTTGCTGATGTACTGGTGAATAACTCAAACTTAAAAACACTTGAACTTCCTCATTGCACTCTCGAAGCAACTGATGCAATAGTTCTCGTGGGGGCACTGGACAGAAATAACTCTCTCGACAAACTTGTCCTAGGTTCTATTCGTTGCTCCACAGGCACTGACCTTTCACATGTGCTTGCAAAAACTAATTGTTGTAAAAGGGTACAATGCACATTTTCATTCAATCAGATTTCATCATTGACCCTGGCTTTGCAAAGTGGTTCTGGAATGTCTAGTATTCTTTTTCACTCTAGAGATGAAGTTGACCCTAGAGATCTTCAAAGACTGTTTGCACAGCTTTGCTGTTCTCCATCACTAACCAAGCTTTCGCTCAGATTGTTCCAGTGCATTGATGATGACACTGCCAGGCACTTGCAAAGATTACTCGCCACTACAAAGACATTGAAAAGTGCAGACCTTGACTTTGCAACAGAGCTGTCATCCACACAGATCTTGTTGAAAGGTCTTCGGCGGAATCGGGGTCTCTCCACACTGAAAGTGCGGCGGTGGATGTTCGGCAGCGACGAAGCAGAGCTTCTGAAGTCTGTTCTCAGCAGAAACAGGGCTTTGACTCGCCTAAGCTTTCAGCACCAGGCAAACGACTCGAATGCTACTGTGACAGTGGCATTGGCACAGTGCTTAGATCGCAACTGTACCTTGCTCAGAGTGAAGACCCGGGAGGATCGTGAGCTGGAACTGTTTACGTTCCGCATACGCGACGCCCTTAGGCGTAACCTCACCCTCTTTCACAAGGCTCTGAAATTTGTCTTGGGGTGGAACCAGAAGCACCTGGCAGCTGCCTTTGAGAAAGTCTGCGGAAGTGACGCCATGGTGGAAAAAGTGATGGAACTTGAGGGCGACACCAACCTGGAAGCCAAGCAGCGCATCAAGTGCAGGGATTTATACTTGCGGACTCACTTCTTCCAGATTACGCGGGTTGTGAACAACAAGCTGGAGTGTGTTCGGACTGGTCTGGGTGGCGTGAGCTTGGATCAGCTTGGGTGGGACTGCTTGCTAAGGATTTTGTCGTACCTTAGCGTTTCTGACGTTCGTTCGGGTTATGGTTGAAACAGTTTTCAGTGACGATTCTTTCGCATTGGTGGAAGGCTTTTTGCAAGAGTAGGCAATCCTTAAGAAGTAGACAAACCAGAGTGGTAGCATATTGGAAGTGTACATTCTTTCTGGATGATCCAGGTAAGAATAATCACTGAGGATGCAGAATTATGCATAAATGAAAGTAATGCACACAAAGTCAACACAGCTTTCAAAAGCTTTGTTGTCTATAGTATCCTATGTATTTTTTGGTTTATATGGATTGTGCTAACCGATGCTAAAAAAGATTTCACCATTTCAGAGATTGTGCTTTGGAACAAGCGTCTCTTGAATTGCACTGCTCACTTTCTACTTAAAACTGTTTCAGACCAAAGATCTCTAGATGCCTTTCAACATGTCAAGCTTCCAGTCGAGATCATGGGCCAGAAAATAATCAGATGCTTGTGAGGAGGAGCATAGCAGCCACATTAGAATCTGCAGGACTAGTAGTTTGCAACTCATAATTGCATTGCTCAGTCTCCTAGGCTATGAGTAGAAAATGTGTGATAGCTGGCAGTCATCGCCTGCAATTTCTTTGTTAATTTACAAATAAGTGGGCTATAAAAGTTTCCTGTTTAGCAATGTGCTGTGCTCATGACGTTGCCAGTCTCTTGACAGCCAAGGCTGGCATAGGTCATCAGCTTTGCCACTTGGGGGCGTAAATGCATTGCAACCTCAGCTTGAGTGCTGTGCGGTCAGTCATTTCGGTGGCCTCGGCAATCACTTGCAATCGCGAGTGGGATTGTCCGTAGTGCTTTGTGCAATGACTAATCGCCACGTAGTGATGAAGATTGGGAGTATGCGGACGATGAGCAAGACATCAGCAATGAGAAAGACTCTGTGATTTGCAGAAAACACATTCCAATTACTGGTACTGAAATAGGAGAGGTGGTGGTGCATAGTTACTACGAAAGTAAATTAAAAAGTTTCGGGAATGAAAAAACAAACAAAAAACTATAAATCTGATTCAAGGTATACTTTGTTTTTCGACATAATCCCCCCGAAGCTCGACATGCTGGGTTCAACGTTTCTCCAGCTTTTCGATTCCCTCCCAGAAGTAACTTTCATTGAGATCCCCAAAATAACCGTTCACTGCCTCCCTCACCTCTTCATTCGACAGAACTGTCCTTCCAGCCAGTAAGGATTTGAGCTTTGGGAATAGGTGGAAGTAAGAGGGAGACAAATTGGGTGGATACGGTGAATGCGGAAGGATTTTGAGCTTTAGTTCTGTCAGTATTTGCCGAGCGAATGCATTTTGAATGAGCAGGTGCACTGTCGTGGTGAAACAACAGCTGTTCCTTGACCATCCCCAGGCGTTATTCTTGAATTACTTGTTTCAACTTGTCCAGGATTGTTATGTAGTGTCGGCCAGTGACATTTCTCCCTTTTCAAGATAATCAAAAAGCAAAATTCCTTTAGCAATCCCAAAAGGCTGATATCATCACCTTGCCAGCCGACTGAATGGTCTTTACCTTTGAAGCCGATTCTCCAAGGCCAGTTCATTGTTCCGATTGACTTTTTGTTTCTCGTGTGTAATGGTGGACCCACGTCTCGTCTATAGTTACAAATCATCCCTTGAAATCTGTTCGGTTTGCCTGAAACACGTGCACAATGTCGGCTGACATTCGGGCACGAATGAGTTTTTGATTTTAATAGAGCAAATGTGGCTCCCATCTTGCAGAAAGTTTCTTTAATCCCATTTCATTGTGTAAAATATGAAAAACTTGTTCAGAAGAGATATTGTGGATTTTATCCACAATTTCTGGTGTGGTAGCGGTTTTTGGACGTCCTGAATTCATGGTTCATCACTTGTGTCCTTACGACCACGCTTGAATTCGCAAACCCACAAATTTGCGGTAGAAAACAAAGGTGATGAGTTCCCAAGAACAGCATTCAACTTGAACTTGATTTCTGTCCCAGGTTTTCCCCCCAAATAAAAAAAAAAAAATAGTGACTGTTCGTATGTCATTTTTATCTAGGAGTGTCGCAAATTTTTGTCGACCTGGATTTTTAGGTCAAACTTTTGGGGTTCGACTGGTTCGATGAACCTTCAAACTTTTAACCAGATTTGACCAGTGTTGCCAGTTGGTCCCACAAAAAAACGCCAAACGACTGTGAGGTATAGCCCAAATATAGCCAAAGCCGTAAAAAAAATATAGCTTAAAATAACCAAGGCTAAACGCTATGACTTTTAAGCCTTATATTGACAATTTCTCACACTCGCACATACACGTTGCCATTTCTGTTTCAACCCTCAAATGCACCACCTTTTGTGCGTATTATGCTACTTGTGAATTTTTCATAAAAAAAAGAATGATGAAAATACATGCAAAACTGGCACTTCCTTCATAGATTTTCAGAAGTACAAAACACACACAGCTTTATTGTGAAGCCCGGGAGATATGATCATACAGTAAAAGGACGAAATACAGAAGGAGAACAGTCGGAACACTGGATGTTTCAAACCAGAACCCCAATATCTCGGGTCCTTGCCAATATCCCACCCGTATCTTCTTCTTTGTGAAGAATATTAGTGTCACCCATTCATGTTCACGCCATTTCTGATTGTGTTGTCCTTTCTTGGGGTGGGCAGCGACTGGAAGGTAGTCAATTGTTTAGCGGTGAAACTGCGGACCTCTTATTTTTACAAACCTGGGTGCCCAAGGATTCTCACAATGGGCACCAAAGCAGCATTCGGAGAGTTCAGTCTACGTCTGAGCGGAGCCATATGCGTCCGGGTTGAAGGCGCGCTATTGGGCCTGTGGTAATAGTGCAATCTGTTTGGTTTGCTCCACTGCGCTGCAGGGAGACCGCTTGAACTCTGCAAACATTGCTTCACTGCGCATTGTAAAAACACCGAAGTTTGAAGCCTTTCTCCTTCCTCTCTCTCCTCTCGACTAGCCAAAAGACAAACATTTTTTTTCGAAACTGATTAAAAGTTCGGAAATTAACAAACCGAACCTCAAAGTTCGCCGTCGAAGCTGAGGTTCGACAAAAATTCGCCGCATTCTTAGAAATAGCCCAAAATAGCCACATAGCCAACCACGAAATTTTGACGCCAACTAGAAAAAAAAAGTAGCCCAATTTGGCTATATATAGCCCAATCTGGCAATACTGGATTTGACCGATTCAACCATCGAGATCAGTGGATTCGACTTTGGGGACAGTGTGGCCAGACCTTAATTCAGGCATGTCTAGGTTTGGAGAATTTTTTTTTTTTTTTTTGTTATGCAAAAGGTTATTTTAACGTCATGAACAGTTGCATTTAAAATAAACTAATTCTAATCACTGAAGAAGTTAATAATTTTATTTTTTGTACTGTATTAACTGAAATAACTAATGAGTGCTCCCCTTAATTCATCCCTTAGCCATCACCATCCAACCTGAAGCCAACGGGCCAGCCTGTCGCTCATGCGCATAGCAGTCAAACTTTTGTCAAACTTTTCACAAGAAGTTAAAAAAAAGTCGAATCTGGTCGAACTCGAACCTCGACCGGTTCGCGACATCCCTATTTTTATCCATCATTGAAAAAACTCGTGGTTGTTCTGGTTGCTAGACCAGAATGCTTGTCAAAGCCAGACTTTATGAGATATCAATTTGACACCTCTGACATTTGTGGCCATTTCATATGAAAGGATTGCCAACACAGCGACGTAAAAATATTTTGAAAAAAAAACCCTAGCGGCGCTTCCGGAAAATTTTTAATCTGCGGACACGGCTGTTTTGAAAATAAATGTGCAGCTATGTTGTGCTGTCTCCTTTCTAACGCGATAGCGTTAAGGAACTCGTGTCGTAGAAAAGCCAGCGTCAGTGGCGTTGCGACGGGAAAGTTCTGATTGGTTTATAGGGTCTTGGAGACCACTTTACAGCTCCTATGGAGCAGAGTAACACAATCCTTTGATCCGCGTGTTTGGCCGACAACACGGCTGACAGAGCAGCTCGGCGTGAGTCACGTGGTACTCGGGGTTCCAGAAGGCGCACGCCCTATGGTAGAACGCACGAAGATTGACGCAACACGGCTGATTAAAAATAAACGCCGAGTTGACACTTTTTGAGACAAGTCTGATGTGAAGTTGGTAAAGCACTAAACACTTTATCAAACACGTAAGGGACGATATCGTCCCTTATGTGTCTCCACTTTTTTAAATGTTTAAAGAGCACCAACACGCTCAACTAGTACAACTTTATTAAAGTTTTCATAATATTGGATGCGTGTGAAAAGTTTGAGAAGGCAATTAATTTCCAAGGCAATGGTGTTTGAAGCAGACAATTTTTTTTACGCAGCGGAGATGGACTTCTTGGGTTGGCAGAAGGGGGTCATGTGAATGGTGTGACGTCGTCTGCTGCATGATGCTGCTCGGGCAATTTTTAAACAAAAATACGTTCTCACATGGCACACAACTTAGCGGAAATTATTGTAAACTGTACCTTTATTATGTCAAAGCTATTGTCGTCCCGTACATCCCCAAAATATTTAAGAAAACGATTTTCCCACGTTCCCCGTGCATGTGTGACCAGAGTTGGAACCCTCGGGCGTTCGCTGCTAGTTGCCGAGAGATGGCGTTATAGATTGCGCTACTCCAGAGCCGTATACACCTTTCCAAGAAACACTCGAACCCAGGGGCAGCAAACCGATTTCGAGCCCAGTCACTGGGTTTGAGGCTAGACTCTCATCGGCATTCCTGCTAACCCTAACCAAGTGGACTGTGATTTCGATAGGCACAGCCTGCGTAGGCGCAGTTTCAAACACTGCTGGTGGATGAATTCTCGTCTTTTCCCGCTGTATTTTGTGTTTCATAGTGCATGTATTTTCCCGAGGTCAGAGAAAGCATTGTACCACATTTGAAAGAAGAAAAAAAAAAACAATAAAAAACCTATAAACTATTTTTGTTGAGTATGCGCGCGACAGAATGAATGCGACTTGAATGTATAGCTCTAGTTTTTGTGTGTTATTTTACGATAAGTGTTGACGGCTGCGAACGATTCTCCGCATGACAAACGACAAAGCGCTTAGCTGTCAAAAATAAATTGCAACAGAAGAGAGCCAAAAGGCATGCATTTTTCACGCTCACAAATAATGTGTTTACTGATGAACAGAACACGGACATACAATTTAGAAAGTGTTAACATTGGAACAATATATTGTATGTACCATACGATGCGGCGTTGTCCGAAAATAATTTTTTGAAGAAAGATCTCAAATAACGCTGTCATAGTCGACAACAGTCACATCTTGACGATCGGACGGAATCCAAGATCGCTTTGTTTTGGGGCACGTTTCGTGGAGGGCTTCCTTTTTTCGCAACAGCACCAAGCCAAAGGAACGAACGCGACTGACCCGTTTCCCACCCCAACACGGACAACTATTTTTGGAGATGACTGAGATGACGACGTGGATCATCTCTGGGAGGGGGGAGAGCAATGTTCGCAAAATCGCGTCGAGGGTCGTTCGACGTCCTTCACCTCCTTCGTTCCCCGTGAAGGTCAAGCAGAAAAGCTTGAATGGCTGGCACTTACCAGCCTTATTTCTTACAATGAAAGATAACACAAAAAGGGCACGGAGCACGCATAAAAAAAATTAAGTGGAAACTTTTAAGAGGGGCGAGAAAATGTTGAATGCAAAACCGCAAAAACGTGGGTAGAGAACCACGCTGAGCGGGTCTTCACAGTCCAGGAGAGTGGCAGAAAATATCTAGCTGATAGAGGGCACGAGAGTCGCACCAGCCTCATCAGCATCAGCAATATGGCGGCGGCCTAGGAGCGTTTTTTGGAAAGGTGTTTATGGGGAGAGTTTGGCCAGTCTATGATCTCTCGCCGTCGCCCCCTTCCCAAGTGAGCCAATCGGCACACGGCGCAGAGCGAGAGGCATGAGAGCGTGCACGTGAACTCGCTGCTGCTCCCAGCCGAGCGGAGAGGGCCGCCTTTTTCATTCATTCGCCCGGCGGAATGCATGAAATTGACATTTAAATTTTGGTTCTTTCCTATTATTTGGCAGGGTCTGGCAAACAAATGATATAGTGTTATTCCTTGGTGGCTTAAAAATTTAACGAATTAGCTTTCTCCACGTTTGAATGTAAACTTTGATCCAAGCGAAAAAGAAATAAGCCCGTAGCGGACGATGTGTAGCCTCAACAGTGCTCGGCGCCGACAGCGTTGCGTCAAAATGGCGGTCGTGTCCTCTTTGCTCCCTTATTTCTCTCGCTCCTTCGGTGCTCTCCTCCTTTTCCTTCATTTTTCTCCTCTCCGGCGGCTTTGTCGCCACACCCACAGGCCAAACACTCCCAATATACGGCTCTACGCTACTCTGCAGAGCTCTAGGGTCATAAAGTCAGCCTCATGACCTTGCGCGGGAATTTCAAACAACGCTCACGTGAAACGTTGACAGCACGCGTGGAATGAGTGATTAAAATTTCATATAACGCGGATTAAAGGTTGCCGCATTCCAACCCACGACCCTTCGGTTGCGAGCCAAGCACGCTACTAACTAGGCCACTCAAGGCACAATTGCTGGCGATGCGAACGGGACCCGATAATGCTATCGCGTTCCTCTCTTTTTGTGCGTCTTTACTGGTACTGGCTCGTTTTCCTTGACATCACAGTTATGCGAACAAAGAAATTAATAAGAACCAGAAACACACAGAAAATGCCCTACATAGCATGAACTTTTCTATAACTTTACATCAAAACCCTTGTTTGAAAGGGATCAGTGGCAGAGTGAGCTAGCTCACACCAGGGGTCCTAATCTGGACATTTGGCGAGGAAGTCTCAAGAAATCTGGCGGCCGTGATTGGCCAACGCCGCACTTAACCTTGATGCCGGCCAATCATAGCCGCCAGAGTTCTCACCGACTTTTCCGCCAAGTGTCCAGATTAGGGCCCCAGCTCTAAGCACGTGGAGCGAAAGCTCACGCTGCAGAACCCGGGATCCTTAGTTTAATCCCCACCCCTGCCCGTTTTGATCTGGATGAGCATTGTTCTGCACTGGCTAAATTTCCCATCTACAGCTGAGAGACTCGTCGCTCGTTGATGCAGACCAAGTTCTAGGCTATATTAAAAAACACACAGCCCAATCCACGATTTGCAAAATAGTATGCGCCACCTATCGCGCAACGCCAGAAACATGGGTGCGAGGCTGGAAGGTGGTTGGAGGCTTTGTGATGTATAGATTTGGTTTGCCTTCAAACACGTGGGCGTAAAGCTTGTGCACGCAAGCTGTCCGTTTGTGCAGCCTTTTCTCTCTTTTCCGGGTGCTGCAAAATCGACGTACCCGTGACAAAATGCGCGCTGCAGATCCGGCAGTGCTCATTCGGCTGCCATGGTGAGCGTGAGCCGTCCGTGTTTCTTCTCACGGCAGCTATCCAAGCTTCTCCGCAGGATACAGCCTGGCCGACGGAAATCTAAAAAACTCGGCGTACTTTGCCGTAGAAGTAATTCGTGCAACCAAGCGCAACACAGTGGGCCGGCATGACGACAAACAAAGCGACTCGCGAACTCTCGCCCGGCCGTACTCGCTTCCGCACCTCTGTCGCAGCGTAGGAATAGCCGGCACGCCCCATTTGTTTTCCAACCAAACACTCCGCTCACGCATGCAGAGCAGCTTTTTTGCAAATCGTGGATTTGTTTTGAAATGTAAGAATGTGGTAAGAACATTGAGGGGTTACAACCGTTACAACTTGTTGGTACTAGGGTCACTAGGGTGCCTAGATGTTTCCGCCGGGCACCCTAGTTGATACCATTGTACGTACACGCAGGGCTTAAAGTCTGGGGGGTCTCAGGGGGTCTCGGACCCTCCCCCCTGATTTTAACGGATGGTCTGGGACCCTTCTCCACAGCCCCAGCATTAGTGAAATTAAAATCATATCTTGTTTTCAGGGATGTGACATTTGTGGATTAGCAATTCGAGGGTTGGAGGCAGGTACAGTGTGGGCAGAGTCAGCAGTGTGGTTTATTTTATCTGCATCTACATCTCGTCAAAACCCTCCCCCCTCCCCTCCCCTCCCCTCCCCCTCCCCCTCCCCCCCCCCCCCCCCCCCCCAAACCACCACCCCCATCCCCATCCCCCCATCTTCTTGTAGGGACCCCCCTCAACTGCACTGTTCACTACACTGAGCGCACTGAGCGGTTCACCAGGTTCACTAGCAAAACCTGGCAAAACGCCCGAACACATGGAGAATAGAAGGGTCGGAGAGGGCATGACGTCAGCCGCGTAGCCTCCACAAGCCATGCTCCCTAAACGCCTCGCCTCTTTCTCATTTTCCTCCTTGCTCTCACCACATCACGTGACCGTAGCTAGCCTTCGTCTAGGCTCTAGCCTTCGATCTGATAAAACCTACCGGACGGAGCGCGTGCAAGCTTGCAAGGAACCCTTTACAATCAACCATCCATCTCGCACGTGATATGTCACGCGCACCAATCGCCAGACAGATCTGCGGTCACGCTGGGCACAAAATCGTTTAAACCAATATTGCAACGTGCCCCTTCCTAGTGCTTCTAACCTCCTTGCCCGAACAAGCGAGTTTTTAAAAAGTTTTTGTTTGTTTTTTTCTCTACAATTTGAATGGATAAGTACAGCAAAAAAAAAAACATTCCGAATCGGGCGGTGTTCTGCGCTTCCTAGGTGTAGAAATCTAAACTATAAAAATGGTGAATAATAAGGGGACGGGAGCTGCGTTGAATCCTGCAGACCTTGCTATATTTTAAATAATACGCAAGTTTGTTATGCTAAATATTTTCTGTTTTTTTGTTTAATTATAAAGACATCAAAGTGTAACGGTGGTAACGGCGGTAACGGTGTAACCAGTGTAACGTTGGCTGGCATGCACCGCAGAGAAGTGGGCTGCGTCGGCTGCGTTGCATGTTGAAGCGTTCACCGAAAGCTTCTATTCACGAGCGCTTGGAAAATGTTTTGCGACTTTTTGTGTGTTAGATCTCGGTACAAGAAGTAGAAGTTCACCTGAACTGATTGGAGCAGAGCTGTGGACGCAGCTGGTACGTAAACCATGCTTGTATACTTTTAGAAATTGCGACATCTCGATCTCCCACCGAGAGTATACAGTTACATCACTTGATTGGGAATGGCATAAGTGAGAAGGGATGCCCACCCTAGTATTAGTATTATTTATTTCCGTTCAGGAAAACCACGGCACCGGAGAAAGGTAAGTTCATGCCATGAAGGCCTGAGGCTTGACACTATTTGAAGTCGTTTGTACATACAGCTGTTTTTCCTTTTCCATTTACACCGTCTTCAGTTTGGTAATCAGTGATCACGTCTGGTCTTCAGCATGTTGTTTTGTTGAATTACTGGTGCTCTTAAGTACAGACACTAAAGGAGAAGGTTACACTGCCCAATTTGTCTAGCTTTTGCCGCCGTGTCCCATGGTCCCTTAAAACATGAGTAGTGAACGGAAGACAGCCTTTAATTTAGGTGTCTGAGCGTGGTCAGGAGAACGCAAAGCAACGTCAGGCTTTGCGTTCTCAGGAGCACATGAATAACATACAGTTTTTTTTTTTTTTTACTGTGGCTAGGGTGTAAGGGTTCCGTCCAGACGCAACTAGGGAGCCTTCTTGTGCATGAAGGCTCCCTAGACGGAAGAATTGTCACCACTAGAGTTCCAGTTTCATTGAAATGGAACCGCTAGTGTTCCGTCCAGATGGAAACGATAGTCACCGCTAGAGTTACGTGCAGACGGAACGACAGTCTTCACTAGAGTTAAGTTCTGTCCAGATGGAACGACAGTCGCCACTAGAGTTAAGTTCCGCCCAGACAGAAGAGAAATGTGCCACTGAAGCTCCGTTCAGCGTACACAAGGTTTGATCCCTATGTGCTCCAACCCTGACCCATTTCTGGAGTAACCACTGGCAGTGTTCCTACACTGGTCTCTATGTCTATTTGCTGGATTGCGTTTGACCAGCTCCGCCTATGGACGGGAATTCGGCCACGGTCAGCCATCTTTTTGGTAGGGTTATATCATCCGCCATCATAGTCATATGGCGGACATCGCTATGGCGGCAGGCTGCCAAAAAAATAGCCGTGGGTCTAGCAGTGTACCGTGGGTGATATTTCATGCTTGATTGAGGTAGTTCGATGAAGCAGATTCTTGAAACCCGGCACAAACATCTTTGAGGACCCGGCGAAAGTTCTACGAAAGTTCTACGAAAGTGCAGTACCGGGGGAAAGCAGCGCAGCTCGCATCGAAAGCAGATGCCGTACCGGCGTCTACATTCGATGCGTGCTGTGCTGCCTTTTCCTGGTGCTGCGATTTCGTGAAACTTTCACTGGGTCCTTAAAGATCAGGCTGCCGTTCACACCGGGTTTCAATAATATGTTTTGTCGAACGATTTCAGTCAAGAACGAAATATCACCCACGACTATTTTTTATGGCAGCCTGCCACCACAACTGCCACAACGCTGTCTGCCATGGATGAATAATAGTGGCTGCACCATCTGTACATTGGCTCGAGGTAATATAACTCTACCAAAAATATGGCTGCCAGTGGCTGCTTTTGCAAAGTGGGCAAACGCGATCCAGCATATAGACATAGAGATCAGTGTGTTTCTATGTTAATTCTAATTAGGTTTATTTTTTTTTTAAGGTAAATTTATTTGTCTCGGCAATCCTACAACATTTATAGTGCTTCCTGGACAACAATTTGTCCAATTTCTGCAAACCATGCATCTCCGGCTTCTATACAAGCCTTGCACGTTACGTCATATGGCACTGTTCCAGCCTCCATTGCTCCGCACCATGCTCCTGTTTCCGTAACATGCGTAGCATACATTTCGCACTATCAAATCTGTTTTTCTCGGCCAACCTTGCCGAAAATACAAATTCGATGGTGCCAAATGTATGCTGCAGAAGGTACGGAAACAGGAGCATGGTACGAAGCAATGGCGGCTAATGTGATGTGCATGCAAGACTTGTTATTACCTAATATAACCATTAAAAATCTCATCCCAGGCAGGTGTATCTTAAATATTTTTTTTTTAAGTTTGTTATTACTGGTAGCCAGATACAGTGAATGCGATGGATATCATTTTCAAAGCTTTATTTATGAACAAAAACCATTTTGTTATGTACTTTGGGGCTGAGTTTTAACATAATACTTTATTAACTAATAACATGGATGGGCAGTATTTCAAATACAAGTATTTGAAATATGTATTTCAAATACTTTATGTATTTTGAATTTGTATTTAATTACAAATTGGGTAATGTATTTGACGTGTGTATTTAAATACTAAAACATGGGTATTTGAAATACAATTGTAATTAAATACAATTTTGTGGGCGAAAATACATCCCTCAAATTTACTGTCACGACTCATTTTGCTCATCCTAAGACGTGTCCAGAGCAGGAAGAAAACTACGTTCTGCACCGAATGCAGTGTCTCTCAGTCAAGCAGAAGCGTTTAGTGACTGTGATTACGGTGCTAGTCCAGGGCAAGAATAGTGACGAAACTGACGTTCACAGGCAGACTGGCTAAATAAGTGCCTGCGACAACTTGTGATGTTTTCCAGCCTAATTTCCATCCATATTTTTGCCTGGAACATACTAAATGCGCGGGTCGTCCAGATTTTCGTAACTGGCGCAAGTTGCAACAATAAAAAATTCTCTAGCTAGTGCTGCGCGTCTTGGTAGTCTCGGTACTTTTTTGGTCTATAGACGCTTTACAGCAGCTGTGCATGGGTGCCGCCATAACTGACCTTCAGTTTTTGTTCCCTCTTATTCCGTTCGCTTCACTTCATCATTACTACAGCAGGACAGGTTATTGCCATTTTAGATGCTACTGTGTTCTTGTGCCCAGCATAGGCCCTTGTGAAGACCCGTCAACGCCCGCTTCAGTGGCTCGGCATCTCGGTAAGACAAGAGAAGGGCGGCTATGGCGGCTCAATCTGGCGCGTGTGTGAAGCATCTATACCAAAATGTAATCGACAAAAAAAGCTGCTTGAAGCTCTGTAGTTTTTTCACCTATTACGTCTAAGCTGATTACTTTTTTTTGTGATTATATTTCTATTACGTTACTAGAGTCTCGCACACTAGCTCCCAAATGTGCGATGCAAAATTAAAATGAGATACCCAGAAACCCGTTGCAGGTGCCCGAAGTCGCTGACGCAAATTTTGAGGAATGTATTTCGAAAAGTATTTGGAGGAGACCAAATACATTTGGTTGCATTTGTATCTTGTACTTAAATGCTTTTTTGGAAATGTAATTAGATTTGTAATTAAATACACTTTTGACAAAGTATTTTGTACTTGTATTTCGATACATATTTGCATGTATTTTGCCCATCCCTGATAATAACAAGCGGCCGGAATGACAGCAGCCTTCCATCCACACGGCTCCCAAGCCGGCCCCCTCTGACGAGAGTTTCTTAACCTTCCTCGGCACGGTCGTTACGGAAGGGGTCGGTGGCGCTGTCTAATGAGGGTGTACAAATGCAGAGCACTCCTCCCTTAATGAAGGCTACCTCCTTATTGAAGACTATGTGAATCTTAGGGGCTTGCAAACAGTTTGTGTGGGTTGTCTTCTACAGGGCGTCCTTGCAGTCTCCACTGTCCTTGGTTCGCTCGTTGCATAGCCTTGGTCCTTGTCAGGTGGCAGTTGTTCCCCAGGGATGCCAAAGTGGTCAAGTGTGGAATACTTGATCGTTGTGGCGGAGAACTTTTCCTTGCAGAGTTGATACAGTCGCAATGGATGTTCCGCTGGTGTTGTACACCTCGCCCAACCACCATCGAGGTCTCTTGCCGAAATTGCGAACTGCAACCTTGTCCCCTTTCTTGTGGCTTAGTCCCTTTTTCTTTTTTTTTGCTCGGCCCATTGTCTACATTCTGTCGGCAAGTGATCCAGAATTGCCTCTTCAGCCCTCCTGGGAATACAGAGGTCCAGTCTTGCTTTCACTGGATAAGCCAGCACCTGTTTTGCCGGAGATGCTCCGCTTGGATGAGGTGCTCGGCAATAAATGCATAGGTCGGCATTTTAGAGCCCCTTCATTCACCATCACATCGCGAACAAAATCACGTCTCCAAATTCATTCGCATTCACGTCACAAGGGACTCCGACCTCCCAAAGTCACGGCCCATCACATCCCGGCGTTCAACCGCGCCAAAACTTCATCCCCTTCACATCACGGCTTTCAAACTCCGCCGAGAATTCTTCCCCTTCACATCACGGCGTTCAACCACGCCAAGAATTCATCCCCATCACATCACCGCCGCCTCCAAATTCACGGAGTCATTCATTATCACATCACCAATTCACGATGTCATTCACCATCACCACGAATTCATCGGAATTCACCATCGTGAATTTATCGGAATTCGCCATCCCATCATGAATTCATCCGAATTCCCCATCACTTCACGAATTCATCCAAATTCACCATCACTTCACGAGGTCATCCGAATTCACCATGACATCATGAATTCATCCGAATTCACCCTCGCATCACGAATTCATCTGAATTCACCATCACATCATGGATTCATCCGAATTCACCATCACTTCACAAAGTTATTCACCATCACGGTCAACACGAATTCACCGGAATTCGCCATCACATCACGAATTCCGCATAATTCACGAACTCATTCAGGTTCATTCTGACTAAATTTGACTTCACGGCTGGTAGCCCTTCACGAGTTCGCAGTTCCTGCGGAATAGGACTGTGGCAACTTTTTATGTCTGCCACTTGAAACCAGGACCTGACTTCGTCGGGGAAGTGGGGTATTTCGAGTGCGCAAAACTCAATACACATTGATAGAGCGCCGACCCAGCCAATGCCGCGCTGCGATTGTGTCACGTGAATGTGTTCCATGCGCCACCACGCGGAACCGGCAGGTCACTTGATATGGTCTCGGCGCCGGATCAGGTGCGCCTGCTCGTGACGTTGGCTTCGTCTTCGTCTCTTCATTGCCACTGCCACCGCACTCCCCTTATAAACAGCTGGTACTTTGAAAGTGCTCGACACAGAGCCACTGCGCTGAGGCGCGCACGGCTACGCAGCGAGACTGATGCCCAAACCGCTAAAGTAAAATCGGTTCCTGTCGTTTGCGGTGAAGGATGAAAACAACCAGCAAGCAAACAAGCACCTGCGTAACATGTTTTCCACCTATTCTGAATTAATAACCGTATTCACTATCACGTCGAGAATTAAGTTCACGGTATTACTTCCCATCACAAACTTGTCAACTTCACGAGCCACTCACATCACAAATCAATCGTGTTCACGAGCCATTCACCATCACGTCACGAATTCATTGAGTTATTCACATCACAATGAATTCTCTTCAGTTTATGAAGTCATTCACAATCACAACACATCATGAGTTTATTCAAATTCACGAAGTCATTCACCATCACATCACGACTTCATTCAACATCATATCACGACTTGATTCAACATCACATCACGAATTCATTGAAATTCACAAAGTCATTCACCATCACATCACGACTTCATTCACCATCACATCACAAATTCATTCAAAATCACGAAGTCATTCACCATCACATCACGACTTCACGACTTCATTCACCATCACATCACGAATGCATTCAAATTCACGAATTCATTCACCATCACATCACGATTTCATTTACATTCACGAAGTTATCCACCATCACATCACGAATTCATTTAAATTCACAAAGTCATTCACCATCACATCATGATTTTTTCGATTTCAAGAATTCATTCAGAGCCATTCAGATTCACGCCGTGAATGTGAATGAAGGTGAGTGAGCGAGTTTATGAATGAATTTGCCGAGGTATGAAAATGAGCAACCGTTGAGCAAGCCGGAGCTTGAGATCTCTTGTGTGGTGGTCGAACACGGATACAGAAGTAGAGTGCTGTTCACAACAACGTTCCCAGTGCCTCCAGAACTCCTTAATGCCACCAAAAGCAGAACCGGTACCCTGGCTTGGGCCAAAGGAATGTTGGGAGCATCTGCATCTCGACTATGCAGGACCGTTCGACGGAGAGATGCTACTGCTGTTGGTACATGCGAAGTCAAAATGGCTCGAAGTCGTTGTCGTGGCAGGTGCCACATCCGAGCAAACCCTAAAACACCTATGTGACATTTTTGCAAGGTTTGGACTACCAAAGTGTGATTGAAAATGTAGCAGTGATGTGATTGCTGTGCCAATTGCGCCAAACTGCGCCAAGGGGTGAACCCTGCTACATCCTGCTACATTTTGCCAAAATATGGGTAAACTACGCCAAGCCTGCGCCAAAAGATCAATTTTGGTCGTCTTTCAAAACCAAAACTAAACTGAGTACCGTAACTTAGCATGCATGAGCTAGGTTGTGCAAGTGGCCGCCCAACAAGAAGTACCCTGTATCAATCGTCCATCCGGTATAGTTTTTCCCGCCACCTCTCGTTTCACGCGCTCATCGTTCATGTGTCTCGTCTACACCGTGGTCTCTTCTCGCGTCTTTTTAAAAACAATTTCAACGATAGACGTGGGCGTGTGTTGACGCTTCAGTGCTTCAGTCGTTGTACAAAGCGCTCCAAGTACATTTTTGACCCTGACTCGCGATGTATTGTTTTGACCTGACTCGCTCAGGTTCTTTTTCTCTGTGTGTTTAGCTTGTACCTCGCCTGCCGGCCTGGCAAGCACTTGCCGCTGGACTGGTTTTTGTCGTATGCTGGACAATTACATTTTTCATACAATTTTGGGAACCAGTTGGCGACGGAGCGGAGTGGCATGGTGTCTGTTTCGATCGAACAGCCATCTCCGCTCGCGCGACGAAGCACGTGCAAATGCAAGCCTGCCGAAGTTGCCCTCATGTGCATGCGAACATGACTGCACAACAGAGGCACCAGCCGGGACACTTGCAACCCATTGTTTTATGTTTGCTTACTTTTGACGAAAATCTGGCACGTCGGGAACCAATTAAACGGTGGCAAGCGGTTTCTCGGAATCGCTCGGCAACGGCCACAGCACTGTTCACTTCTGGGATGTCTCAATGTCTCTTTGGAGACATTGAAAGTGGGAATTCATTACTAGTCAAAGGCAAAGCGAGGCTTGCAGCAGCCTTTTACTAAAAAGTTTCGAAAAGAAAAAAGAAAAGCACCTTTGTCTTGTGTACAATTTCGCATTGCACTGCAGTAGTTACGTGTTTCATCAGTCGGAGACTGCTTCCATTTATTATATTATGTAACTACGGTAGTCAACCTACTAGCATATTTACTAATAGACCAGCTTATTTACTAATAATGTGGTCATTTTCAATTAAATTTTAATATGTGCAGTTTGGTTCTTATTTATCAATAACGGTACATATACATGTATAATTTAACTGAAGCATTGCAAAATGTGTCATGTCATTGGCATTTCAGTTACATGTTGAAAGACACCCAGGTGGTTGAACTTGACCATAATTTGTTTATTGCGGCGAGTGAAGTGCCCTTTCTTCGTCCAGCACTTAAAACAAATATTTTTATTTTTGTAAGAATATCTGCTCCAAAAACCACTTTTGCTGCTCCGAAACACTGTTCTGGCTGCTCCAAAAGCAACTTTTGTTGCTCCAAAACACTGTTTTACCTGCTCCAAAGGCCACTTTTGCTGCTCCAAAACACCGTGTTGGCTGCTCCAAAAGGTGCTCCAAAACGGCTTAGGCCAATCACATCACTGAGAAATGGAAGTCCGCTCACTGGTCAGCCCTTCCAAGACTTCGTTCAGGGAAATGGGATATCAAGTATTTCCGAACTGCCCTTTTTCATTCACCATCTAATGGCTTGGCAGAACGAGCTGTTCACACGATTAAGCCCTCTGACAAGAGTTTCTTAGCCTTCCTCGGTGCAGTCGTTACGGAGCGGGTCGGTGGCTTTATCTATTGAGGGCTTACAAATACACAGCACATTGTAATGCAAAACCTGGAGGCTGGGTGCATTGTCGTAATGAAGAAGCACTCTCGTTCTCCCCTTCCCGTTGCGTTTTTCCTTGATTGCAGCACATAATTTTGTAATTATGTTTGCATAATAATAACCTGGTATTGTGGCTCCACCCTGTAAATAATCACAGGAAAAAAACACCCTTGGCATCCCAAAAACTTGGCTGAGAGATTGTTATTGTTCCTCTAGCTTGGACACGAAAAGGAACAATACTCTCGACCGGGCCCTCGGGACGATACAAACGGGGCTCTACAAGGCTTGTTGTAGTTCCATCTGGACGGAGCCCTACTGGACCTGCTAGCGTTCTGTCGGGCGGAACTCTGCTGGGCCTGCTATTGTTTCATCTGGACAAGGAACTCTACTGCGTCTGCTACTGTTCCGTCTGGACGGAACTCTAGACACTCTGTTTTAATCCGAAAGCAATAACTGGTCTTATGAAGTGAACTGACGTCATCAACTTTGAAGCCATGCCAAATGACACCTTCCCCTGTCCCAATGGAGCGAAGCCTGTCGTCTGTAGCAGAAATGTGATGGATAGGCTCCCATTGGCTGGTGCGCATCATGAAGGAAGGGGGCTCCTATTGGCTCTTATGCGGCGTAGTTCCAAGGGCTGCCACCAGAGGAGGCCTCTCCATGCCGGCACAGCGCACACAGCAGCCTGGCCGCGGGTAAGAGCTGCGACAGTGTGGGCCTGGCCGCATGGCCTGCTCGGGCAAACTCTGGAGGGGCTGCACGACAAGCTCAGCGCGGCACGGCCACGCCACTACTCTGCAGACGGACTAATAGATCAGAAGAATGACATTCATGCTTTCGCATTCACAACTCATAAGAAGTGCTTAGGTGTCCTCTGACTTTTTTTTTTACCTTATCCTTCTTTCATGGTTCGTTGACATTGGCCTGTCAACAGTGTAAGCTGGTCTGTACTATTGTACTCTTATATGAAATACCCAAAAGTTTCACTGGTTGTCTCTATTGTTTCAAACAATTGCCCTTTTTTACTTCTTCTGTGCACTAAGCTAAGAAAAATATGCACCATCTCAGAGTTCATTGAATGGCTGTACTTTCCCAACACTTGCTTTCCTTGATGTGTGTATGTTCCCAACAACAACTCGTTATCTTGCTGCATCATTTGCAACTTAGCCCCTCTCTGTTCTCAATCTAAACCACATCCTTAATGGCAGCAGTTGACACCATAACAGCAACGTAAATGAAGCTGTCTTCCATCAAAGACACCGTTTTAATCATGCAACGTCACTGCAGAGATTTCTTCTGAGATATTTACAAAATGTTTTTACTTTAATGAAGCCATAAATATATAAACTTTTTTTTTTATATGCAAATTTAACTTTGTTACGTTACGGCGCGTCGAGCGCACTTCCAGTCTGGGTCTGCAGGCGGAAGTCACCATGCAAGACATGCATTCCTGCTTTGTTTTGGAAGAAACTAGACAAAAACCTGCCTTCTTATCAAAACGCCACGACTGCAGATGTACCAAAAGAGTCGACAAAGGTTTGAAGGTCAGTTTTCATGTGCTCGGTTCGCCGAGAACGGGATATGTGCCGTGAAAAGGGAAAACCAGGCGCCGTGGGACCACAAGTGCTTGGGCGGGAAGCACTTTGGGATGAATTCACGGATACTTGTGGTCATCAGATTTATTTGTTTTGTTCCGACATGAGCGCGGGAAAACCATCAAATTGTCCGGACCACCTGCAGACTACGTTCAGCGCGTCGTCAAGTTCAGACGGCCACCTGATTGTTTGAATTGTCGTCTGCTCCTTCAAACATTTCTGCTTGTCGTCTGCTCTTTCAGACGACACCAGTCCGTAAACCAAATGTTGGCCAGGTAAAAGCGATAAGAAGTAAGTGAGGCCTCAAAAGACTTTTAAGTTTGAAGGTTGGTTGAAGTAGGCAGGCTCAGTGTAAACAGTAGATACAAGAAGATGTTGATCATTGTTACCAGTGACCATCATCGACTTGTTTTTTTCTGATTCACTTGGTCTGATTCTGCTTGCGATTTTCAGTATTGGCGTCAATCATCTCAGCTACAGTTCACGCTTTGGCAGCCCAAGCGATGTCGCGACTGAAAATTGAGAGTGGAATTTCATCATGCGAATCAGGCTTTAGCGTCCATTCTGCGGCGCCCACACGGAAGGAATCATCGCATGTCACATTATTTACGCGAAGTTTCGTGGTTTAACGAGCTCCAGTAATTTCGTTGAGGCCGCTCAGGAAGATGTAGAATCAACAATTTTAACGCGAAAAAGAGCATAGGGACTCATGCTGGTGCCGACAACATCGCATTTCAATGGTTTGTTATGGGCGATGGCGAGCTTCTTGCCCACACTCTATCGCGCCTACGCGGCGCCAATGGCGTCCGCTATTGGCGCTCCGGTTTGTTTGTAAACATAAGTTGGTCTATAACTTACATTTGATTTTGTTTGCTGGCCCGATGCATCATGTTCAATGGGCGTCCGCTTTTCTCATTCACAGGTGCGGTGGACATGGATGACTGCAATCTAATTTCTGAGGCCGAACTTGAAAAGTATGCTTACAGTATTGCGTCCCTGGACCCTTTCCGTGTGCTAAGGAGCATCACATCCCTCAGAGACAGACTGAGGGCTCAGGGAGCAGACCTTCTCAAACCTTGTTCAAGCAGGGACGACGGAACAAGCTGCTGGGTCGTCGACTCCCTGCTGACCCTCAACAAACACCTGACTTCGGTCCACACAGAAATCGAAGAGTACGAGCCAGGCAAGCTTGCCGTGACGTACATTGATGCTGTCGACGAATGCGACGACCTATCGGACAGGACCTTCTTGGACTGCGTCTTTCTCATTTGTTGGCTGCTCAGGAATCACAGATGTATCAAGAGGGTGTGCCTTTGCGAGTCGGTCCTAGTGCGGACCAATCCCGCGATGCTCGGCAAGGCCATAGAGCTCGCACCTGGGCTCGTCGAGGTCGACATAAAGTGTCGGTTCATTTCCACGCGTGCGTCTGTAGCTCTTGCTTCTGCACTGAGCCACAAGGTCGGGCTCGAAAAGCTGCACCTCTCATCCTTGCTTGTGGACCACATGACTGCAAGGGACATAGCCTGTGCCTTGAAGAAAAGTCGGGTGCAGTCACTGGTTCTCTACAACGGTCTGTCTATGCGGGCCGGAGATGTGATCCTGCGTGCCGTCGGCAAGTGTTCTTACTTGACCTCATTAGTGATAGATGGTTATGAGCATTTTCTAGTTAGCAATGCCAAGTGTCTTGCCGCTGTGCTGGCTAAGAACACGACCATAGCAAAATTGTCCGTGACTGGAACGTGCTCAAGTGCGGTAAAAGTTATACTTACATCGCTTCAAAAGAACAGCTCGGTTCGGGAGCTTTCACTCATTTGCCAACACCCGTCCCGCTCGGTTTTCATGGAAAGTGAAGAGCTGGAGCCATTGGCAAGCAACTCTGTACTGAAGAAGCTGACACTTTCTCTACAAGAGCTGGATGATGCCGGTGCCATTTTTCTCTCTAAATGGCTAAAAGATAGCATTATGCTAGAAGAACTCGACCTTTCGTGGAGCAGCGTTCGTGTAAATGGTGCCCTAGGGCTTGCAGAGGCACTAAAAACAAACAGAACTTTGAAAAAGCTTGTTCTGGACAACTACGGTTTCACTATTAACGTTGTCGAGAAGTTTGTGGAGGCACTGAAGCTCAACAACGTTGTTGAGTCAGTTCGTTTGGGTTTTATTCCCATCCCTGAGGAGGTTGCGTGCCAAGTAACAAATAATGGACACAACGTTTGCAGACGACTTATGGTGGCCTGGAACACTGACGGGCTTCTGCAGCTTGCACGAGAATTGAGGGACGATAGAGGCTCAGGCCACCAGTTGTATCTAAGCTGGTCTGAACATGCCTCAGAGGCGTCCATTTTAGACGTGTTTCTTGCTCTGTCTACGAACAATACCATAACTGAACTCTACATGCAGAACGGAAGTTTACTGAATGTCGCATTGGCCGAGGGCCTAGCAGGCCTACTGCGCTCCACCAAAACTTTGAAGAAACTCAAAATAAGTACAGAAGTTCAAGTTGACCGTGTTGCGCCATTGATTCTGGCCAGTCTCACAAACAATATGACTGTTCAAGAAGTTGTTTTTAGTTGTACTTCTATGTCAAGAAGAATGACCAAAGCTGTGAGTGAAATGCTGCAGGTGAACAGAACAATTCACACTATTTGTTTTGAGAACCAGTACCTTAATTGTGGAGGTCAGAAAAAGCTCTCAAAGTGTCTCAGGAACAATCATGTTCTAGTGAAGTTTGACTTTTCTAACCCAACTTCATACTTCAAGGGACTCTTCACCATTCGAGAGATTGTGCTTCGGAACAGGTGCCTCTTGAACCGTGCTGCTCAGTTTGTGCTTAAGACTGCTTTTGACCAGAGATCTCTGGATGCCTTTAGGCTGGTTTGCAAAAATGAATTCCTTGTCGAGCATCTAGTCAAAATCACTGACCAAGGGGAGGCAGATGTGAGGAAGAGCATAGCAGCTACACTCGATTCTGCTGGAATAATTTGTGACTCATAATTATGACAGTCTCTTAACTTTAGGTTTTAGACATATTTTAACTGCAGTGTAAAAGCACATGTTAGGTGCCGGTCGATGTCTGCAAATGTTGGTTTTAAATTTACAGAGCTAGTGCTATGCTCGGTGTTCTAATAAAGAGCTGGAATTCCTTGTAAATTGTACAGTCACAATTTTTTACTAAGGTTGAGTGGAGGCAAATGGGCAGTTGCATTTTTACTTGATACAAAATTTTGACTGTTGGCTTGTGCAATAAAAGCAGTGACACTTGTATGCACTCTCCCTCTCGCGTTGTGTGGGCTTTATGGGTTTCAAATCTGCACAAGGAGACAGCAAAGAAATGATGAAGAAAGCTGTCGTGAGGCACATATGGCTGGAATCGGCACGGTAATTGTATATTGAAAGGGAAACATAAAAATGAAAGCCGTTTACAACTCCCTGTAACGCCGAATTAGAGCGCAGCTCTTGAGGAGGAGGAGGGAAGGGTACTGGGGGGTGGGTCAAGTGACCTCGGGGGGTGGGGGGGTCACGTGACCTTGTGGGTCACGTGACCTTGTGGGAGTCACGTGACCTGGGGCCACGTGACGATACCGATGACGTCATCAGTAGCGTCACTGATGACGCCATCAGTGATGATGATGACGATGCGGATGCCGGTGACGTCATCAGTGACGTCACTAATGACGTCATCAGTGATGATGACGATGACGATGCGGATGCCGGTGACGTCATCAGTGACGTCACTGACGACGTCATCAGTGCCTATGACGTCAATGGGGGGTCACGTGACCTTGGGGGGTATCCCCAGGTCACGTGACCCCATGGGGGGTCACGACCTGGGTAACCATCGTGACCCTCGTGAGGGTAACCCTAGTAACCCTTGTGAGGGCAACTCTCGTGACCCTCGTGAGGGTAACTCGTGACCCTCGTAAGGGTAACTCTCATAACCCTCGTGACCCTCGTGAGGGTAACTAACCCTCGTAACCCTCGTGAGGGTTACGAGGGTGAGTAACCCTCGTGAGGGTAGCTCTCATAACCCTCGTGACCCTCGTGAGGGTAACCCTCGTGAAGGTTACCCTCACGAGGGTTACTAACCCTCGTAACCCTCAAAAGGGTTACCTTCACGAGGGTTACCCTCACGAGGGTTACTTACCCTTGTAACCATGAGGGTTACCCTCACGAGGGTTACTAACCCTCGTAACCCTCGTGAGGGTTACAAGGGTAAGTAACGCTCGTGAGGGTAACCCTCGTGAAGGTAACCCTTTTGAGGGTAACTAACCCTCGTAACCCTCGTGAGGGTTACGAGGGTAAGTAACCCTCGTGGCCCTCGTGATCCTCGTGAGGGTAACCCTCATGAGATTAACCCTCGTAACCCTCACGAGGGTTACGAGGGTTGCGATTACGCCGACGCCGACGGCGACGCCGCTCAAGCCGGGAACGGGCCCCTAAGAGCTGCGCTCTAAAACGGTTGACTTCTCTGGACGAAGGTGACATACAAAGTCAACAGTTGTTCAAAAGCGAGACCTAAGACGGCCTTCCAACTGCTATGAGCATCGGACATCAAGGAATCTTGGGCTGTGTTCCAAATCTTACCCAAGGGATCCGAGTTCTGGCGGGTCGTGTCACGTAACAACACAGACTGAAAAGTGCAGGACATGGGTAGGTTTTGGAACGCCAAGGTACAAAACCCTTACCTTGGAGTAGGATTGAGTAAATTTTAGAACATGGCCTTGATGTTCGATGCTTGATGCCCCAGGTAAAGCAAGCAAATTAAAGCTAATACAGGTGACTGGCCAAATAATTAAAGAGGGGGAGGTACCCAATGATTGGAAACTAAGCAAGATAAGAGTACTAATATATAAAGGCAAAGATAACATCAAATCATATCACCTGTAGCGGAGTGGACACGGACCCGTATGGCAGGATAAATGCACTTTGGGCCCCAGAACTGCACTGCGAAGATCGTTCTTCATACGTGCCAGGATCCGAATCCCTCGATTCATGTGAGCCCAGCACGGTCCTACGTCTCAAGTGTTTCTCGTCTTCTATGCTACTACACTCCTCCCTCCTCAGGCGAATGTGAAGACATCAGGAGCTTTGCGTAGTCTGGTCGGATACCGACGAACCGCAGTGGACTCGGAAGCATCAGCTGATTGTTGCAAAGTTGTGTCCGATCCATCTGCCTCTGCTTTTGGTGGTTCAGCTGCGGAAAAGTTGTCCACCGGCGTTGGGGCATACAATGCAGTTCAGTCTTCTTCGCAGATTCGTTTCTTCGTCTGATCTGCATGTACCCGGTGTCGCTTGTGATCTTCCGTCACTACTTCAAACATAACCCGTCCTTCTTGGCTGACGACCACACCTTCGATCCAATGGTTCTTCTTTAACCTATCCTGCATCCAGACTTTCTGATTTATTTGAAATGTCCGGTCGCGACTTCTCTTGTCGTAGTTGCTCTTTTGGCGAGCCCGCTCACGAGAACCATCGGACGACTGGCCTGATTTGATCAAATCCATCGTCGTTCTGTAGTGTCGCTTGTTTAGCATCTCGCATGGGGGTTGTCTCGTCGTAGAGTGTGGTGTCACCCTATACTTGGGGAGGAACTGTCTCAGTCCTTCCTTTTCCTCTCCCTTCAATTTTCGCAAGGCAGACTTCAATGTCCTCACAAAGTTTTCGGCTAAGCCGTTTGACTGAGGGTGGTACGGTGGTGTTAAGATGTGTTGAATTCCTTGTTCCTCTAGAAAATTCTTAAAAATGGCACTAGTATACTGTGGTCCATTATGGCTGACTACCTGCTCCGGCAGTCCGTGAACAAGGATGATTTCCTTGAATGCTTCCACCGTCCGCTCAGCTCTGGTCGACGGCATCAAAGTGACTTCAGGCCACTTGCTGTACGTGTCGATCACCACCAAGTACATGGTGTTCTGGTATTCTGCGAAATAAGAAAAGTACTACGTAGACTCTAACCAATTTCTTCAATGTGCCCGACGTTTCGAAGCCAGCTCGGCTCCTTGTTCACAGGTGAGGTGTTCACGACCACACACAGAAACAGAAGAAGAAAACAAAGCTAAGAGAGAGGAGAAGAAAACGACGACCCATATACAGTCTTCCGTGAACAAGGAGCCGAGCTGGCTTCGAAACGTCGGGCACATTGAAGAAATTGGTTAGAGTCTACGTAGTACTTTCCTTATTACTTACCTAACCAGGCGGAGTTCCGCTGAAATGTTTACATTTATTCTGCGAAATCTGTATGGATTCGGTACCAGGGTCGTTTTGGCACTTCCCATTGGTGTAGGGGAACATTTTCGTTCCTGTGAGGGACTGAAGCACAAGCTTCGCAGGCCCGACTTTTCGCTTCAATGTCTTTGTCCATGTTTGGCCACCACACGTAGGAACAGGCAAACATCTTCATTTTTGATTGTCCAAGGTGTCCTCCATGTATTAAATACAGAAGACTACGTCAAAACCTAAGAGGGATCACTGTGCGCATGCCCCGAACTAGGCAGCCATTTGCCACAGTGAGTTCCGACTGTCTCGACGTGTACGGTTGCATTTCTGCGTCGCGTTCAACCGATGGCCATCCTTCCATGACATACCGGTAGACTTTCGACAGTGTCTTGTCTTTAGCAGTCTCCGCCGCGATGTCGGATGCCCTGACTGGAAGTTTGGTCATATTTTCGTCAACAAATGCCATGATGTCTGAAGAAATGAAGCTCACAACATCGGCGACTCCCCCTGTTGGAATTCCGCGTCAAACTCTGCATCGGGTCCTTGAGGTAGTCGTGACAAGCCATCAGCGTTTCCAAACTGAGTTGTTGGAGTATACTTAATGTCATACCAGTACCCTTATAAGATCAATGCCCACTGTTGAAGTCTGTTGGCAGCCGTCACAGGGATTCCTTTTACTGGACCAAAAATCATTGTCAGTGGTTTGTGATCTGTATACAAGACAAATCTTCTTCCCCACAGATACTGATGAAACTTCTTTACGCCAAAAATTATGGCTAGAGCTTCTCGCTCAATCTGGGCATATCGTTTCTCTGCGGAAGTTAGCGTTTTCGATGCATGTGCAATTGGGCGTTCCTTTCCTTTTATCTTGTGGAAGATGACCGCTCCGACGCCAACTGATGAAGCATCAGCCGCCAAATAGATTGGCTCGCTTGGATCGAAGTGAACAAGCGTCTCCATGGACGTTAGACGCATCTTGATGTCTTCGAAGGCTTCTACGCAAGGCAAACTTCATTGCCAAGGAACATTCTTGAGTAGATTACTCAGCGGTGCGCACAGGTCGGCTAACCCTGGCAAATACTTAGCGTAGTACTGAACCGTGCCCAAAAATGTCCGTAGGTCATGTAGGTTAGACGGTGCCGGCATGTTCAGTATGGCTCCAACTTTCCCTTGAGAGGGACGTATTCCTTCCGCTGACAGAATCTGACCCAAATATTCCACTTCTGGAGACATGAACGCACATTTCTCTTTTTTTTGTGTGAACCGATAGTCTGAGTCGTAGGAACATGAGCTCCATGTTCTTGATGTGCAGCTGCTCAGTTTTTCCGGTGACGATTATATCATCCAGGTAGCATGCCACGCTTCCCGGGCCAGCGGTTACTTGTTCCATTGTTCGCTGGAAGGTGGCAGGCGCTGATGATATGCCAAAAGGCATCCGGTTAAACTGAAACAATCCCTGGTGAGTGTTTATGAGGAGATACTTCTTTGTATCCTCCTCCAGCTCCATCTGAAGATATGCCTCCAACAGATCCAGTTTCAAGAACTTCCGCCCTCTGTTGAGTTTCGAGAAAAGTTCCTCGGGTCGTGGGAGCGGGTACTGCGCGACGTTCAACTGAGGATTGACAGTCACGCTGAAATCTCCGCATACCCTCAGATCCACTGGTCTTCGTGACAACGACGATCGGAGTGGCCCACTGTGCTGTTTCCACTGGAGTCAATATGCCGTTGGCTACTTGTCTCTTCAAGTCAGACTCTGCCCCTTCGCGCAATGCAAACGGTAGTGGTCTTGGCCGCATGAACTTCGGGATGACATTCTCCTTGAAGTGAAGTTGAGCCTTGATCTTCGTGCATCGACCAAGTTCGTTTCTGAATAGTACTGCGTACCTAGTCGGCTGCGTCTTGAGGCTCTTTTCTGTTTTCACAAGAGTGACAAACAAGTTGTTGAGATCTGATTTCAGAGCTCCCACCCAGATCCTCCCCAACAAGTTGACTTGGCTTGTGTTAGTAAAAATAGCCTGTAGACTGTACTTCTTGCCTTCAAATTCAACCTGAAGCTCACATTGGCCCTTGACCTTGATGACCTCCTTGCTGAAACTTTGCAGTTTGTACGGAGTTCGTTCAGCTTTGGTTTTCTGAGGAGACGCCAAGTCTGAATGTCCAGTAATGTCCACTTGTGAACCCGTGTCTATTTGGAATTCCACTCGCTTGCCTTTAGTCTGACATTCCAGAAACTTGCCATCTTGATCGAAAACAGACTGAACCCTGGCGATTGCTTGTACCGTCCCTTTCCTTGTTGATCTGGATTTGCCAGACTGTCCTTTCCTGCATGCACATCTTGGCAATGTGCCCCTTGGTTCCACAAGCTCTGCAATCCTCAGACTTGAACCGGCACTTGTCTTTGACATGGTTTGTATTCCCGCAACAGAAACATTGTCTAGCAGACCTCTGTAGATCTTTCACCTGGCGGACTGTGATGGGTGATTCTGCGACACTTCTCAATTGACGGGACTCTTCTTCCGCTCGAAGAAAGCTTTCCGACAATCTGAGTGCAATGTCGATTGATAACTCTTTCTCTTGGACGAGACGTGCCCTCAGGCGTTGATCTCGAAGTCCAATTATAAAAGCAGTGAGCAACGAACATGCGCGAGCATCGACTTCGTTCTCATACTCGCAGTTGCAAATGACTGACCGTAGTCGTGCTAGGAATTCGGTTGGTGTCTCACGTACATCCTGGCGTGTTGAAAACAACTTCGCTCGTTCAAATTCCTTGAAACGCTTCGGCGAAAAATGAGTGTCCAGTGTTTTTGTCGGTTCTGCATACGAAACTTCACTGACCTGCCTCGGCTGAACCAGAGAGTGCAGCAGCTTGAACGTCTCCGACCCCAGCGATGCAATCAGAAAGTTCCTTTTTGTGGCATCATCTGTCGTTCCGGCGATATCCAGAGATGCTTGGAACCTTGTTTGGTATAAGTTCCAGTCCTCTTTTTCCGGGTTGAATGGTCCTGGTCCCATGAACCGGAAGACATTCGATGTTGCTCGCTGCGATGTCTCGCCCGATGCATTTATCATGAGCCATTCTCCAGGAATCCTCGTCGCCAATTTGTAGCGGAGTGGACACGGATCCGTATGGCAAGATAAATGCACTTTACTTTGGGCCCGAGAACTGCATTGCGAAGACCGTTCCTCATACGCGCCAGGATCTGAATCCCTCGATTCATGTGAGCCCAGCATGGTCCTACGTCTCGAGTCTTTCTCGTCTTCTACGCTACTACGTCGCCCAATGGACCTTTTGTAAAAACATCGGTTTGAGAGTAAATGGTTCCAGTACCCTCTCTCTCTTCCTTTTGGCCGAGCAGAGAGGGGAGATGATTTCGTTGTGTCGACTTCGGGGCAGAAGATTACACACGATGGGGACAAAGGCGAGTTTGGGGAAGCCGTATCTAGGTCACAGCGCCTTAATGGGTGAACAGGATGTAGCTGACGTTTTGGGTGTGAAACGGGTGGGAGAGGCCTTGCGCGCGCGTTGTTTTCTCGCCACTTAGCCTCGAATCCAGTCGCGTGTCTAGGTGGCAGCACATATTCGCCAAGAGGTCCATTAACTTCACCCATATACACCTTTCCAAAAACCGCTCCTAGGCCGCCGCCATGTTGCTGATGCTGATGCGGCTGGTGCAACTCTCGCGCCCTCTATCAGCTAGAAATTTTTTGCCACTCTTGGACTGTGAAGACCCACTCAGCGTGGTTCTCTACCTACGTTCTTGCGGTTTCTGCATTCAACGTTTTCTCGCCCCTCTTAAAAGTTTCCACTTCATTTTTTTTTTTTTTGCGTGCTGGGTGTCTTTTTTGTGTTATCTTCTATTGTGAGAAATAAGACTGGTAGGTGCCTGCCATTCAAGCTGTTCTCCTCAACACTCACGGGAAACGAAGGAGGTGAAGGACGTCGAACGACCCTCGACGCGATTTTGCAAACATTGTTCTCCTCCCTTCCAGAGATAATCCGCGTAGTCATCTCAGTCATCTCCAAAAATAGTTGTCTGGGTTGGGGTGGGAAACGGGTCAGTCACGTTCGTTGGTTTGCCTTGGTGCTGTCGCGAAAAAAAGGAGGCTCTCCCCAAAACGTGCCCCAAAACAGTCATCTTGGATTCCGTCCGATTGTAGAGATGTGACTGTCATCCACTGTGACTGTGTTATTTGAGATCTTTCTCAAATAAATTGTTTTCGGAAAACGCTGCATCGTATGGTACATACAATATATTGTTTGAATGTTAAAACTTGCTAAATTGTATGTCCGTGGCCTGTCCATCGGTAAACACGTTATTTGTGAGCGTGAAAAATGCATACCTTTCGGTTATTTAGATTTATCCACCAGCAGTGTCTGAAACTGCGCCTACGCACGCTGCGCCTGTCGAAATCGCAGTCCACTCCTTTAGGGTTAGCAGGGACGCCGGTGAGAGTCTAGCCCGAAAACAGTTTGTTTTTGGGGTCGAGTGTTTTTTGGAAAGGTGTATACAGGCTAGGCTATGCAGATGGTGAAAAGAAAAAATCTTCTAGCCTTTTGAGTCTGGTGGAGAAGGAAGACCAGCGAAGCTGTACTATGGTGGGACGACCTCAAGGACGACTTCTTGAACGACCTCAAGGACGACGTCTAGGACGACCTCAAGGACGATGCCTAGGATGACCTCAGAGATGACGTCTAGGACAACTTCTAGGATGACCTTGAGGGCTACGTCAAGGATGACTTCTAGGACGACCTCGAGGACGACATCTAGGACGACGCCTAGAGAAATTCAGCCTTTCCGCTCTGGTGAAAACCAGAGTGAAAAGGTTGCTGCCATCGCTCATAGATGCCGTTAGCTGTCCAGAGTTTTGTGTCAACATTTATTTGGTGGCGGACACGAAACTGGAGAAACTAGTCGTTGGCAGCTCCGTTGTAAAAATGGAAGAGTGGGCAGAAAGCCTGCAGATTCTGAGTGAGCTCCAATATGGTTTCTGAAAAGACAGAATGCCTTGAAGATAACTTACTTATCCCACCCACCCACCCAGTGCATAAAAATAGCAGCAACAAACAATAGACCATGATGGGTATCATTTTTAGATATTAAGGGGGCGTACGACAATGTGAGTCAGGAAAAACTCTGGGAACTGCTGGGGAGGTATAAGCTAGATGCACATTTGATTAGATTCTTGTAGTAGGTGTATACATATAATAAGGTTGTT